ACATTTTACTCTGATCTTAAATATCTCCTTATATAGTATAGCTAGCGTATTACTATAATATAGCAAAATAAAGCTCTAATAGAGAGCTTTAAAATAAGCTACTAGACTTCTCAATCGGGTAAGTATTGGTGGAGATAATAGCGTTTTTGAGATCCCGATGTGGAGACCCAATGACCAGCCTAAGCTAACTGCTGCCCCCCTTACTGCGGATTAGAATCGCGTTTTAACCTTTCCTAATAGAGCGTGCGATATAGGTTAGGTAAGCACTAGACATAGCTTTTTCTACTAGAGCGATACTAATAAAACGTAGTAAGGGTTGATGCTTAAAAAACGCGCGTTTTACTGAACAGAATAGCGTTTTTGGTTGCGGTTCAAAAACGCAGCCCAAATCGGGCTTAGTAAACCGCAACCGCAAAACGCAACCGCGCAACCGAACAGGCCCTTAGTAACGTCATTGTCCTAGCGACCATGCAGATCATAGCTCAGGAATGCCATTCACTTGGCTTACTTCTGCATCTCGGCTGGCTTGAAGCCGTACAGGTACCAATAGTCAGGCGCGAGGGTAAGACTCCTACCATACCTCTCGCCAAACTGTCCCTTCATCTCGTTCATGAGGAGTACGAGGTTGTCAGTATCCTTTTTACGACCTCCGCGCTTCGGCTCAGCAGGATATTCCAAATTGATATCCGCGCCTTGACAGCCGTACGTATCCATGGACTTGATGAGAGATTGGATTAAGGCTCATCGGCTCGCTTCAGTGAACCCCATGTCAGTCTAGGCTTTGTATATTGGGGACCGGGATCGTTAAAAGACTAGCCTCCGATCGCGATGCAGGTCTGGAGACCATTGCGCTTGAATGCAGTAAACTCGCCATACAAATGAACATCATCGGAGTTCAAGTTATCGCCTTCATGTGGCAAAGACTCTAGCACGTTAAAAGGACGTCGGATTGGGTACCACCAAGGATGGAGCGCCCGTGAGCGCGTATGCGACAAGGTAACCTCTCGTCAGATCAACACACGTGGCCTATCACATTCGCCTTCTTCCATACTCAGACGTTCGAGATGACGCCTATGATCTCACAGGATCCGAATCCTTGCTGACATGGTCTAGAGTGTGTTAAGCAACAGAAAAGGTGGGAGGAAAGCGGTATATGCTTACGTCTTGCCAATCAACGGCTATGGGATCTTCCAATGGACATCTTCTGTTCCGCACGATCCGTATTTTGAGCAGCAGAGCTTAAGCCCGCACTTCGCTCTTCCATCAGCTGAGTCGATACCACACATGGCCTTTGCATCGCATTTTGATATGCAGTTCTCCGGTGCACATTGGGCTGCTGTATATCCGCACTCGCCCTCCTCACTACAGCATGATTCATCTAAGCGGGGTTAGCCTGGGCCACATTGAATGGGACCATCTACACGCTTTTGCAAACCAAACATCCGTAGGCATTTTCAGGATCCTCAACATGCCAACCAGCAAACTTCGCCTTACCGTCTCGGAGTGGTGCCGTTAGTCAACGTTTTGTTGGTTACGTCGTTGGATGAAGGCTACCATTGTGACTCAAGATCACACACTCAAGATATCTAACAGACACTTGCAATATTTCGACATTGAATACATTGTCAGTATACACTCCTGAGATTGGAAATGCACATTTGAAAGATGAGCTATATCCCAAATAGACGTGGCTTGGTCGGACATGCGTTCACACTCAAAACTAGTCTGCAGTATCCCATCTGATCCAGGGCGCTTAGATACAATCTCCTGACACTTTAGCTTGCAGGATCTCAAATGGTGATGGATATCGCATTCGGCCAGTCTGGTCATTCGACTATTTCGGCTTGATAAGGCGGAATCGACGGCCCTGAATTTTCCTTTCATACTCATGAGCCTTTGTTAATTGTTGGTTCCAAAGTATGTCCCTGAATTTAGCATCTGCCGCGCGGGGCATCATCTCGACATAGACAACGACGTTACCATCCTCAGTCTCGTATGGCCAAGCGCGTCGGAAGTACAAGAGTGTCTCCGACCAAGGCTCTGCAGCCATTACTCGCTGAGCTTTCTTGACTTCATCCAAGTGCTCGTTCAAATATGCATGGACCTCGGTGACGAACTGCCTGAATGTAATCGATCCTCCATCCTCGTTTTGGATGATGAGTGGGGGCGGAGGTCGATAGCCGTCCTCCTCGGGCTCACTATCGTACGAGAGTCGAAATTTCTCGTCACATTCGCGACTGTTGACCTCGATACGGCTCACGCTAGGCAGGCCGAAGTCTGCATCCGCATCCGCATGCTCGAAAAACGGACCGATTTCCTCTCCATTTTTGGGCCCCGAGACAATCTTGATATCACTTAGGTCGGCCAACAGATTCCAGCGTAGTCGGTACAAGAGGTCCATACGGATGCAATCGTGCACCAATTGGGAAGGAATGATAGCGGCGTGAATGGGCGTATGGGAAACTGGAGAGGGATCGTTGTAGTGTCGGGTGAGAAAGTGGATGGGTAAGCTACTATGAATCGGGGCGGATTCTTACTCTTACATATCGTCTTCACCCCTCGCTAATCATTTACCCGGACAGTGTTTAGCGCAGCCCGAAATTAACCACCCGAGGCGACTCCAAGCACTACTAGGAGGATGAGCTACCTTTTTATCGATGGGGCGGCTCGGCAGGGATGCGGCAGGAACGCACCGTAGCCGAACCTAAAGTTGACATGGATCCATGAAATTGCGCCGTGCGCAAGGGATAGCCGCCTAAAGTTAGCGGCCTTTTGGTTCTGTGAGATTTTGTTAACAAAGAGATATATCTACTTCATGTATTGAAAACCTTCGACTAGAAGTGCTATCTAAAAATCTTGTTGTCTTATTCTATTTTCGTGATAATTATGCTCACCCGGCTAGCATGGGTTCCTATCATCCTCGCACTGTTTCACTAAGGTGTAAATAGCGCACTAGGTGATGTTATTTGCAGATACGACGACGACTTTGACAGGGGCGAATTAATAAACCTGTACTGAGTTGGCACGCAAGTACTTTATTACTGTGAAAAGGTTCTTTGAGTTGGATGTATCCGTCGACAAGGAGTGCAATACTATCAAGGCCAACAACAGACAAACAATGTTGCAACGGAGAGACTTGTAAGTAATCTTGTGCTGATGATTGCGCATTATATTCGAGATCAAATAGGTCATAGACGGGGTCATGTCACCTGACTATATTGCGATATATTTTTTCTTGAACGATCTGTACGCTTAAAATTATGTTTGTCAACGACCTTACAAAGGCTATCTAACTCAATGTTCCAGACAATACGCGTGTCTCGCCCTTCATTCATCCATATTGTGTAAACTATCTAGGGATTGATGATAATGCCACCGTTCCCCCCGTTGCCGGCACGACTGCCGGGCACCAATGCATCACCGCCGTTGCCACCCTGCTTGAACATTAGCTGCATGATTCATAAAGTTTCGTGCTGGCAATCAGCACCCGCCTAAAATGGGAGACTTACATTGGCAATACCGGCACCCTCTGTACCGTCTTTGCCGTCTTTGCCGTCTTTACCATGCTTACCATTTTTGCAAGCACCATCCTTGCCCTTTGAATCTCCAGAGAGACTCACGCTTCCGCCTGTAGCTGACGTGCCAAATCCAATAGCTGAAGCTCCAGTTATAATCTCGGCGCTGCGCTTCTTGGCAAGATTTGGCTCAGGGTCTCGAATGTGAATATGAATAGATGAACCAGGGTCCTAAACAAGATCAGTCAGTAAAATACAAATACGAAGCGAAATATGGATCAATTACATTTCCTACAGACCCTCCTTTGGCATGGCCGTCAATGGAAACAGCAGGACCTCCAGTTATAATTGAGTGGGAACCGATTGAGAACTTGGAGTCGTTCACATCATCGGCAGGATCACGTTTCACATGAGGGATCTTGATGGGGTGTCCATCGACGACAACAGCCGGAATGCCGAGACCAATTGAGAACTTGGAGTCGTCTACATTGGGATTGGCGGGGCTTCGTTTATGTTCAGAACCCGGACTTTCTGAGCCGATTCTCAAAGGGTTTGGGGTGGGTGCCCCTAAGGCAACTGCTGAAAGGAAAGAGAGGACGGTGGCGGATCTCATTGTATTGAGTTGGAGATATAGCCAAAAGAAACAGTGAAGTGGGAGCCGTTTGGCAAGAGTGAGATAAGGAGAAGGGAGGAATTATAGAGTGAGAATGAAGGTAGAAGAAGTAGAAGCTAGTCAAAGCTCTGCTGAAAAAAAGTTGGTTGGGGGACTTTCCTGTGGTTTATATGCACACAGGATGCTATATGTTTTGAGGGACTTAACCAATTCTTCTGTCAATATGACATGAATTACAACTGACACTAGTAGCATCAAGTCTATTGACAGCCTTCCCATCACAAATGCCGTTATCCGTCACTTGTCCGTCACTGTCGCGGAATACTTGCTCCTCCTCGCATGATTGCGATCAGCAACCTAGTCCTCTATCGAATACGAACAATCACGACAATATTCGTCATCTCGAAGGGTTCAAAACCCCTCAAGTGTCAAATACGAAACACGTCAGTCATGTGGTAAAGTGCATTAGGAAGGGGGACCCAGTGTTGTAGCAAGTGTGGCGATGCGGCGCCACTACCTGGCTTAGCCACATTTGAGTTTGCCGAGGTTTATTTCGAAACTAGAGTAGATAATTCTGGTAACTAGGTGGCTGATTGAGATACATAATGCATTAGTAGGGAGGCTAGTGCAGTCGTTCTGGAAACTTTGCTGAACTGAGCCACCGCATCCCCCAGATGCTACGTCATGTATCCCCGTGGAAAGACCGTCTGAGGGGAAGGAAATAGGGGGGCTAGCAGTTGTGAGGGATCTTCTGGGGTAGAAAGAAGGACTAGAGGAGGGCCGATTCATGTGGACTAGTGAATTACTTGTATTTCGGCATCTGAGTTTTAGTATACTAGAAGCTCACCATGCAACGGATTAACAACCATCTTGAGGGATTTTGAAGCCGATAATTTGGAAAGTCCTATCGGTAGCGATGGTGAACAAGATCTCAGATCTCGGATCTCGGCACTTGCGTACACAAGGCTCAGGGATGTATTGATGAGTTAAGCGCAGCTTTGTGTCAGCTGCAGTAAGTACCTAGAACGAGGCATTTGTTTAGCCCAGTTTCGTTTCAGCTGTACCTGTAACGAGACACTCGTCTAGCTCAGGTTCGTCTCAGCTATAGTGCCTGGAGCCAGCAACTTGACATAAGCATGTGCCAAGACCCGCGCTAAGAAGCTTAATTCAATGCTTTAGGTTTGGAAATATCCCGCAAATAGCAGTGCCACGCTTTGCCCATCTGGGAATTACTAGGAGGCATGTCTTTAGAGCCCGCTGTAACTGCTGCTTCAATGCATCAACGTTGTAAAACGATTGGACACGGACTCGTTTTCGGTTGCATCCACCTGCGCTCGGCCTCGGACGATCATGGGAGTGGATAGGCACATGGTCTCTGCGACGGGTACGAGAAATAGCATATCGCGCGCGGAAGCAATATTCCGCCTATATGTCCGTGATGCGCGCCGAATGACGGTAGTTAACCCCAGATTTACCGAAAGTCAAGGTTCTTCAATGTGTTCGTGGCCGTAGAGAGGGGACTTCAAGATTTATGGATTCTGTGTCGACAGTAGGGTCATACGTTGACGCCTTACTCTAGTTTGTTTACACAGTATATTAAACCATTCAAAGTAATTACTCAACAGGAGCCACTCGGTAAGCCTACGGAGCGGTGTCTGTTCTCCGCAGCGGAATTCGTCCGATCCAATGCGCGCTCGGCGGTTTCTGGGGGATTTCTGCTAATGCTGTTTGGACTCTTGTTACATGTCAGCCCGAATAGCACCGATGTGCCAAGACCGTTTTACCGTTTTAATTACTCCAAGCAAAAGCTTAATCCAGCTAAGACTGCATTAAGAACGTCTCTGAGGCTTTAAGCTTTAATTCATGCTCTTCACGGTCTCACTGAACGTTACCGTAAATGGACTAGTGGTGCGTTTAGTACTACAATTGTTTTTCTAAGTTTAGGGCTTTCCTAAACACTACCTTGTATCGATACTCGTATCGTCACGGTAGCCTCGCTTCTCACCTGATCATCTCTCAATTCACCCTACTCATGTCCACTGTCGTGCACGTCAAAGCTGTCAGGATCTTCATGACATGGTTGTTTGACACAGACTCCGTCAGTGTAGAGTAGGTCTGTTGAAGCACGTCAGTGTACTGTTCAAACATGTCACTATACTCTGTCTACCGAGGCTGGTACTCTCTCCACGCGAATATATAAATCAACACTGGCTCTCTTCGATAAATCATCATCACACATCAACCACTCCCTCATCTCCTCTCATCTTCTCTCATCGCAATCAGTCTCGACGACTACTTTCTTTTCACAGTTAGCTGGAACTACTCTCAATCTTGATTACTATCAAACTTCCTCATCAACAAACATGAAGTACTCAATCATCTTTGCTCTCGGCTCCGCAGCGCTGGCTGTAGCGGCTCCCGTCACTGTTGACGTCAACAGCCGTGATACCACTGTCGTTACTGGCGGCACTGGCATTGGGTTCGAAGGTAGCGGCCGTGGCGGCAACGTCGCCAACGGTGGTGATGGTGGTAACACTCGCAAGGGCAATGGCGGCAATGGAGGTGCTGGCGGCATCGCCAAACGCGATACTACTGTCGTCACTGGCGGTACTGGCATCGGATTCGACGGCCGTGGTCGCGGTGGCAATGTTGCCGATGGCGGCGATGGTGGCAACACTCGCAAAGGCGATGGTGGCAACGGAGGTGCTGGCGGCATCGGACGACGCTCGACAATCGTCACCGGTGGTACTGGAATTGGCTTTGAAGGCAGTGGTCGCGGCGG